GCAAAAACGCCCCTTGGGGGGAACGTGGGGTAAAAAAAACACCCCCAGGGTTAACCCTTCCTTTTTTTTTTTTTTTTTTTTTAGGGCTTTGCTTAACAGCCAGAACAAATAATTTGATTAAATAATTATGTTTGATTTTTTATTTATTTTGTTTTGTTTTAAATTGCCCATCTCGATTTCTTTTGCGGCATCTTAAAAATAAACAATATTTGTTTATTGCCAGAGCCTTTTAGCTACTTCAGGGAGGGTCTGCGGAATCCAAAATGCTTGGATCCAGAATAACAAACATCCTCTAATCAGCGCATTTTTCGGAATTGCCTTTTAAAAACTGAACTCATGCTTGGGCACCTGTTTCAAAGAGCAGGCTTGTTTATCAAAGTCCTCCTCTGTCAACAGAGGCGGACTCTGTTGACAGAAGAGCGAACGTGATGACGGCTGGCTCCTCGGCCCACATCTGATTTCAGCAAATGTGCAATTGTTCAAAGTGAGTTGTGCTTCATTGATTTGTTTCAAGGCAGAGGAAAAATAACCTGAGGGCTTCTACCAGTTAGAAATAACAATGGAGTCCTTCTTTGCTGTTTGCCGCTTGCTGGCTTGACATCATTGGTAAAGCAGAGGGATTTTCACTGTGGATTTAACTAGTAGTTGGGGACTGGGGTAAAAATAAATCAGATACTCCTCATTGAAGTAGTTTTATTTTGGCATATAGAATTTCAATAATACGAGATTAGGGGAGGTTATAAAACGCTGTTCCGTGTGTTGTTATTCTTGATGAAATGCTGCATTTGTCATGAAAATGCCGGAAGTAAAACTGGAAATTGAAACAAATCTTTTTTTTTTTAGATTAAATTAAAGCTCATTGTATTAGTTTTGATCAATCAGAACATCGATAAATATAAAATCTGAATGGAAATTTAGTTTAATTAAAGAGCATGTTTTGATGTATTGGAAATATGAGTGACTATTCTACACATCTGACACATCTGGCAAATGGGATGTGATCCCAGCTAATTCAGCTATTAAATTTCTACTAACTTTTAATTTAAGAAAAAAAAAAAACCTCATAGTGATTACCTAATCTCATGCTGTGTTCTGCATGCACTGTTTCTACTGAGATTCAATCACCTCTGCATAGCGAATGCTGGAAGTGTGCTGAGATGGCAGCGCAGACATGACTTTAATCTGGTTAATTGAGCTTATAATTTTTTGGAACAACTCATACATTGCAGATAGAACAATAATACGAATAAAGGAATTTATTGACTTTGAATTTACTTACTGAGAAAAATGACTGACTCTGTACTTACACAGTGGCACAGTATGAATTTTTTACATCCAATTTTAATCCCAGTAGCCACACATAAGCTAAACCTAACGGGAATACGTCATAAATCATAGAAACTTGAAAATGTGCAAAGACTTACTAATTTGTGATTTTCAGATGGAGCAACATCAAATCTTCTAGTGTAATTTTTATTTTTTTATTTTTTATTTTTTTTACATACAGATAATGTCGGATCTCACAGAAAACATGCATTTAAAGCAGCCACGCATATTTGGTCAAAATCAGCAGAGGAGCAGGGGAGAGGTTACCATTCGAATGAAAACAAAAGCACATCTAACCCTGACAAGACATCAACAAGGACCACATCGCGATAAGACAATTATTGTTGTGGTCAGATATGAAAGCATCTCACCCCTTTCTGTCTCTTTCTGTGACTTGTCGTTCAGCGATGCAGTCGGGCCGGAAACTCTCTGAGCCGAAATGGTTGGTGACTGAGCTTTTATCAAACCGACTGAGGGCGCTTTGTTGTTATTTTAGGATTCCTCATGGGTGCAGTCTGAAAGAGCAGACGAGTGGGTTCCATCATTACATGGGTGCACATTACAGACACAGAGGAGTGTAACAGACACCAAGGAAAAGAAGATAATGTTGGGATGCTTATGCTCATGTCAATTGCATTGACTAATTTTTTTATCTTTTGAAGAAGAAGACTGTTTTTTTTTAAGGCAAGGGTTCAATATGATTCTCTCGGTTCATCTCATCTACTTTTCTCTAAGCTTTTCGCCACACATATGCAAAGTCAAACTCCAGATATTTTGTGAGGACCCCACGAAATTGCCAACTGAGGAACAATAGTAGAAATGCAACACCGATCTTTTACCGTTTGAAGCACACTTGATCTGTGGTACGCAAAAGATTCAAGAAAACGTTGGAAGAAAATCTATAAGGAACGAACCACGAGATCCATCCGGAAATGCAAGATAAAAGTTCAACATTCTCTAAGCTGAAAGCCACTGTAAAACATTGAACAGGATTTATCTGGTGCAAAATAAATGGGTATAAAAGGTGCTGGAAACTCCTTGATGAGAAAAAGGGATCATCTGGCTTTTTGTCAGCATCTGTGATTTTGAGTGTGTTTTTGTTATGCGCAGAAAGAACTGGTAACTTTCACATCTGTGAAAACATCAATAAACTATTAACCAGGCATGTATGATTTTTTTTTTTTTGCAAGACAATACCTAAAGCGTATTGTACAACAGCTTGGCTCAGAGTTAAATAGTCCAGGTGCTACTTATACAGCCTTGTGTCCAGATCTGATGGATCCAGCATGCAAAAAAAATACACAATACCCCAAACCAAGCGAAACCTGGAAAATGTTTCATTTTCAAAACCACGGGTCTGATCAGTTCCCAGACACTTATGTAATAATGGACAAAAATTTATATCAAACAGAAAGTTAAACATGTAAAAGACTTTCGTCATCTAATATGGTGTAGTCCTACTGATGAATCGTTTAGATTCAGGTCATCTGTAAATATTTGCGGCTTATCCTTGCATTTAATTAAATGTCTATTTTAAAAATACGAGGATTAAATCTGCTCACAGAGACGCCATCCTCACCACGGCTATTTTTGAACGCGGCTCTCACATCCGTTGTTACAACTGTAAGTCAAAAATCTAATTCTCCGGTTAACATCTATTTGATTCTCCATTCATACAAAACGACTGATCACAAGCCCTGACGATGTAACACGGAAAGCAAATGCTCAGCCGCCCCGAATGGTTCTGTGGCGATACGATATTCGCCGGGGGGGGGTGAGGGGGGTCTGTGTAGCGGAGTTGTTGTTGTGCCTGTCTTGTTGTCTGCTATCACAAGGCTTGAAGGTGCTTCCGGTGTGGCCCCCCGACACCGATCACAGGCAACCGCTGTTTTAAAACAAGCGGAACGATATATTCCTCTCGCTGCGTGACGATGACCCCTGCTCCTGACCCCCTCCAGCGGCGCCTCACCCCTCCAAACAATAACAGTCAATTCCCCCCACACATCTGACAAAGCCGGAGAACAACTTATAAATGATATGCATCTCCTGCTGGTCCCATGGCAACCGCCTCGACTTTATTGTTGCGCTTCTTTGATCCCGCCAAGCTTTGATTCATTTCTCTTTCACCCTTTTAGCTAAACATATCATGTGAATTTGGAGCTTTGTTCCTGACAGGCCCCGTCTTACCTCGCTCTCTCCACAGGCTCCTGACGCCTCCCAGAGGAGCCGCGGAGGAGGAGAGGAATTCCACCGGATTCAAAGCACTTCGACGGGCTGCTTTTTGACTCCTCCGTCTGTCTTGGCTGGCTTCTCTCCCCTCCACTCCCCGTGTTGACCTGTTCCTCGTGATTCCCCCCACCCCGCCTACCCTCCTGCCAAACCATCTTCCTGGTCCTGAGGGACCAACACCGTACAAGCACAGGCGTACATGTTAACAAGGGGCACCGGGTTTCAGACGTTTATTTAAAACACTTTTAATAGCGCGTTCTTTAGCATGACGAAGTCTCGTGGAGAATCAAGTTAAATTAGCACGTTCTCGTTAGATTTTATAGGTTTGTCGAGGGGGCTTTAGATGCCCTGCCAAGCTCCTCGTAAACTCCACACTTTGAGTTTTCATTGAGAAACTCATTGTTGGCATCTTGACATGGTCTTAAACTTCCTTCCAATGAGTGCGGCCGTAAACTGGGAGGACTTTTACCCAATGAGTTCGCAATGAAAAATGAAAACGAGTATGTTTTTTTAGCACCATCTGGTTTCGATCAGGACAATATCCTAAACACGACCGGTTTTTTAAATCAGCCCTAGCCTCAACCTGCCTCCCAGACATCGGCCACTCATTATTCTGGTCAGGCGTCTGCGACAGCTACGCGGGATTTTTAGCCTTTTTTTTTTTTTTTCCACCGCTGAAATCTGTTGATATTCCCTTCATAATCACTGCGCTCTTTGTTTTAAGCTCTCAGAATGGCATTGCGGGCCCTCTAATTGACTTTATGTGCGTGCATGTGTTGCTCACATTGATAAATGCTTGCACGCAATCGCAATATGACGTTTTAATAGTCGTGACACATGTTCTGGTCGAAGCCTTAAGATGACCTCCATATATTTCAGGCAACAAGAACAACAAGAGATGAATATAACCTTTCAGAAAGTTGCTCTGCTTTCATTATGTCAACTAATACCACCCTCACATTTCTCGAGTCCAGCCTGTAAATTCAAATATATGTGCTGCCGGGTCCTGTGCATGTGCAGCAGCAGAAATAAGTGTCTTTGATGGAAAAGTCTGGGACCAGTTAAGTCTGTCACTGTCAATAAGAGCAATATTCTAAGCTGGAAAAGGAAGATGTGTTAGGTGATGTGGGATATTTTTCCTCCGGCCTTTATTGCCCAGTTATTCTTCGTGTCTGGCTGAAATTGCAGAAAAACATACTACGCTACTGAAACCATGAGAGCAATGATCGTGAATTCAAATGCAGATTGTTTCCATGCTTAGCTGCGCGCTCCAAAAGTACCCCTTTGAACTTTGTCAAGGTACGAGCCCGATAGACGATCGCGTCCAATGAGTCGGAATGTGAGTTCGGATGAGGCGAGTTTGTCAGATTCAAAGTATCTATAGAAAATAACAATGTTTAAGCAGGGATTAGACGTGCTGTTTGTTAAACCCACATTTGTGAATTGCTTTTTTTTCCACCCCTCTCATAGATCAGGTGTAATCTTAAATGTCGTTTTGTATTAGCAATAAGTAATAAAAGGCAAAGAGCCTTTCATGTTAATTTATGTAATGTGCTTCTCTTAGAGATTTGAGTTACCAAGATAAATTAACTCTTCAATAACAATCAAATTTATTGGATGTGGCTGCATTTTACGTTAAAGACCAACACTAAATGATGCATAATTGTGAAGGGTAAGGAAACGGCTGCATGTTTTATTAATTTTCCCAATGAAAATCTGTAAAGTGTGGTGTGATTTTTTTTCTCTTGTGAAAAGGTTAATATGGCATGAATGCATTTACAAAAATTTATAAACATACGTTTATAGCTGATCAGTATATGTGCACATCAGAGATGCAAACTGAGGCAGAAGCTGCACTTTTCATAACCCTTCTCGACTAAATATATCTGAAATCAGAGCTGTTTATTTGTTTTGGATGAAAGCAGTTAATATATCTCTGCTACTGTACAGGCCTTAGTATTCTGAATGTCTTTCTCGCATATGCCAGATGGGCTATTAAATCAGCATCACACGTCCTATAAATGTCACCACAAAAACTGCAGTGAAAAGGCTGCCGTCACACGTTAGAAGCTTAAATGTTAAACATTTTTCTTTTAAGGATTTGCAAAATTAACTGGACCTAGTATTTTCTTTCAACGTAACGTTAAAAAAAAAAAAAAAAAAAAAGCATTCTCTTCAGCATTTCCTTTTGGCTTCTTGAGACAGATTTGCTCTCAGTCTCTACCAGACTGATCTCTTAAACCTCTACACACACTTGTTTTCACTTCTGGCCACTAATTTGCTTGGGTTAAAGGTGGACTGGCTGTTCTGAGAATTACGTGAACTCGGCCATCGTCTGCGCTCATAATAACGATTTCAGTGCAAACAGGTGCAGTGAATAATACGGGGACGTCGGTCAAACTCCGGCTTAATCAGCCATTCATTCGTACATTCATCACTGTCGTGCTAATCTTTAAAACACCCGTGTTTTGGTTCTGTGCTTTCTTCTCAGGTCTTGTGTTTTTGCCGCTTACCCAGAGCCGAGTATACTTCCCCAAAAAGCAAACTGGAAACATCCATCCGGCAGCATCAAATAGCTCCAAGAGCAACATGAATCTGGAGCAGAAGTTCTGACACTGATGGGGAAGAATTAAAAATTGCAACTTTCCTAATTCCCTTCAGGCCATGAGCACTTAAATGTATTTTCAGATTTGCTTTAGTGAATACTGCAGCTTAATGAGGGGGTGGGAGGGGAGGGACTAATTTTCTTCCGTTAGCTTTCGAAGTTTTTCATTGCTGGAAAGCAGTGGGAGCCACTTGAACATATTACACTTTTACCTTTTATGCAAATAATTGACGCATTTCATATTGTCTTGCATTCCTTCATGAGTTCTTCTCTTTGCAAATCAGGGAGCAGACTTAAAGGCAATCCAGGAGGAGTTTATGGCTTTTTAGATGTTAGAGCAAAATTATCAATACACCATTACTGTGTTAAAAAACACTTAAAGCAAAAGTTTTGCCAATTTACTAGCTTAATGGGCTTAAAAGGTGGTTAAAGTTAGGAACTAAAAGTCATATATTGATCTCAAATAATATCCTGTGATATCAATTGTGATATGTTTTTATTGTGGAACTAGCTTAAAGGGGAAATCCGATAAATCTGATGGATTTTAATAGTCTCACAAATTACACAGAGGAAGAACAAAAATCTTTGATGTTTGCATAAGATACTGGATACTGTTTACCAGTATTAAAGATAACTAAACATCAAAACAGTATAAATTTTAGTTTCTGTTTACTGTGTGTGCGCGCAATCTAAAGTTCCTTATGTAATAAACTTTTGTGAAAAGTGGCACATATTAAAAAAAAAAAAACTAAACAAAAAAAAACAAAACAATCCACATTAAACCAAGAAGAAAGAAAATGAGGGTTGTCTGGACAGTTTAAAAGAAGGAAATACAGAATTAATTCTGCAATCCCGGGACAGGATGTATTTCTATAATCTCCTGCTGTGCCTCCATCTGACAAACATGAGCCACACTTCATATCCCACAGGGAGCAAAACGTTTGAAAGTTCACATTCGTACCTCACCAAACTTGAGTCTTCAGAGCATTAATTAACCAAAATGATATGTAGCCAACTTGAATCACAACAAATCCACACCTTATGCATGAGCGCTGGCTTTACTTTCTGCACAGCTGTTGCAGTACAATCACCGACCAATGGAGGGCAGTGTGACTTTGGTGAAGCCTGATCACAAAGATCCAAAGTTGCAAAATGTTTCGTTCAACATCCTGCTGTGGGGAGGATAAAGAACAAGATCTATGAATTGCACTGTGTGTCTTCTGCCATTCAGATGTGACACTAACAGGTTTTGATCCTTCGCATGATTGTGGCTGATGAATGGAAGATATTCTGCAAGAATTAAAAGGAAACCACGAAACACACTACCCTTATGGTATGTTTCTGTGTCAGCCTTTATGACTATTTATGGCATATATGTTTTTTGTTTTACAAATTTTATCATTGCGTAGCACACACACATACACACTCACATGGATGTAGGGATTGGGGTCTTCTTATTTTTACCAGATAGAGTGATTTATTATGCTAAGATACTTTTACATGAAATAGCTAAAGGTTCAACAGAATTAGACAAAACTTTTCAGACACAAACTATCATTATTTCATGTTAAATTGAATTCAAGGTGTTTAGACTTTTTTTTTGTCTTTGAAATTAAACCGAATTTATTCCTCTCAACGTTGTTGTTTAAAGACGTGTTTAAAGAGCCTGCACATGGTTTGAGGAAGGTGGGCTAAATCCAAAAACAACCCATGTGAGCTAACCTCACACCTGAGGGTGAGACCCCCACAGCACAACCTCTGCTTTTAGAGGGAGGAAAAATGTGATCAGAGAAGCGAGCGCTTGTGTTAAAATCTTAAACGCACAAATGGGAGCTTGTATGGCATGGATTTAAACTGACTTTGATTGTGTTAATTGTTTGAGTCAGCTCAGTTCCTCACTGCAGAGATCTTTACGACCTCATGAATGTTTTTTTGTTTTTTTTTAATGTCCAGTGAAATTCCTCCAGCTGCACATCAGGGACATTCAAACCACTCAGACACACACACACACACACACACACGCAGGCTCACGCTGAGTTATTACTGTACCTCTCCTATAATTCTCTGAAGCGCCACTGCAAACAGCTGCCTGATTAATAAGTCAGATCCTCTAAATGTGGCTCAGAGTCATGTATCTTTTAAAACTACTTAATAATGGTAATCAAGATTATCAGCAACGTAGCAATTACATCTTTACACTTTCCTCTCTTAATTATGGATCTCTCTCCCTCTGTGTGGATGAAAGGGCTGCTGCTCAGTCTCAGGTGGATTGTTCATCTTAAGTGTTTATGATGGTGTGTTTGCATCACAGCGAAGCTACGCTCCCTTAAAGTGGCAGTGCCTGTGAATCAACCACAATGGCGGCGCTCCTATGTTTTATTTATTGATGTGTTTTAGCTAGGGGAAGACCTCACGTTCATTACCATAAAGGCCCTCTAGACATTGAGTCGCACACAAAAGACCGAGCCGTCGTGCGTGCGTGCGTCGACGGGAGCTGAGCAGGCCGCTTTGCTCCGACTTTGCCTCTCGCCGCCAAACAGCGCGAGCTTGAAGCTGACAGTGTCAAAGTGTCTTTGTCTCGTGCACATAAACTGTCCCTGAAGCTGTCGTTGTTGAGAGAGATGTAAAACACAAGAGATTTTTTTTTTCTCTCTCTCTCTCTCTCTCTCTTTATGAGGGAAGTTGTTTTCATTCCCTACTTCTATTTTTTTCCTCTCTTCTTTTTTTTTTTTTTTAATATGTCACATCTTTTCTGTCAGGGCCCCGAGGCGCCTAGTGGTGTTCATGCGAAAGAGGAAGAGGAGGAGGAGCGCGCGCAACTGCAAACCCAGCGGAGTTTGACCATACTGTACCTGCACTCATCCTTCTCCACGCTTATTTTGTTAAAAAAAAAAAAGTTCAAAGTGTAGTGCGTTTCACACAGTCTTGTTGCCATCTGATCTGTGCGTGTGTGCAAGCATGTGTAAAGGAAGGCAGATGCTGGTAAAGTAAGTAAAAACTCAATATGAACCCTGCAGAGGCCTCTCCCCTCTGTTCAATTATTTAGAGTCAAAGAAAAAAAGAAAGAAACAAAAAAAAAAAAAAAGGAAGGAGTAACATGTTTCCTCTGAAGCTACCGCTCCTGTTCGGGCAGCAGCGAGAGTAACATATTTATCTAGGCTCATCTTTGCCAAATAGCCGGAAATGGAAACAAATACCTTCAATTGAATTCCCGGCTCTGGCGTTTTCCTTGAGCTCCTGCAGTATGCATGTGTGCGTGTGTGTGTGTGTGTGCATGTGTGTGCACTGTGGCGGAAAGCCTCCTCGGCACCAAAGATTGTGGAAGCGCTGACAAGCAATATTTTTATGGCATCTGGATGTACACTTGGCAGTTTCGGTATTCTACCCATCTCTTATGACGGGAAGGCAGGAAAAAAAAAAGAGAGTGATAGAGATGACGAGGAGTAAGCAGGAGAAAATGCTCACCTCTTTAATTTGATTAAAGATTTAGGAGAGAAAAAGAGTCACATTTCCTCCCTGACACGTCTCTACCTGCACGGCGCACTCTGACACCTGATTCCATAAAGAGGATGTCACAGCCGAGCAGCGCCGGTAATTACTCTGAAGTCAAATAAATAAATATATTTGCTTCCCTTTGTGAGAGTCTGACAGGTTTTCCAACATTCTTGACGGGTAAAATTGCAAGTGTGTGTGTGTGTGTGTGTGTGTGTGTAGGGGTGTACTTTTTTGTGGTTGTGTGTTCAGATGTGGTGTCTTTGTGTGGGTGTGTGTTTGTGTTTACATATAGTGAGGCGCTAGCAAAGGAGGGAAATCAGACAGGATGAAATTTTGACAGCTACAGTATAGCTTGTTTACCCCCTCTTATCTTTTTTTTTTTTCTTGACTGTGATAATCTGCTCAGCCGCGCGCACTGACGGCGAACCTCTATTTGAGACAGATGAGGAGCGAGGTGCAGCTTTGTAAATAATAAGGTTAGAGTTTCTGCACAGTTGCTAGTTGCTGCGGCTGATCTCGCTCCCATTAGCGACAATTGGCTGTGACCTCACCTGCTCGGCTCGGCGCTGTCATCACGGCGCGGCGGGCTATCATCATCCGCCGTGGTCATACGAGGAGACACCGGGAGAAACGCTGCTCTGCTGAACCAAAGCAAGTCTGATGCTTGTTGTCATGAAGGCTCACTTCTTGACTTTTTGTACAGTTTATCTGCAAGAAACAGTTTCAGCGAAAAAGAAAGAAAGAAAAAAAAACATCTTAAGGAAAAAGGCTCAAGTAGCGATGTGCCTGCTAGCAAAAACTGGTGATGTTCGTAACTGTGACTGTACAAGCTGTTCAATACGAAATGGTAGATGCTGTTATCTGTCACGTATTTTGTGTCTAAATGTTTACAGCTTGCTCATATAATCTGATTGACCATTACAGTGTTTGCGGGTCCTCTGTGGCAAAACATATAATTTAAGGCTGTTGAAAAATAACTATACTCATGTCTAATTTGTGACTTTTGTGGTGTGCGCTTGACCTCTGTTTCTCCATGTTGTCCTCTGACATGTCCATCCAGCATGTTAAGTCTCTGACAGCTGGAGATACCAGTCGACTGAAACCCTCCAAGGACTATTGGATATAGACTGTTGGTGAATGTATGCTTGTGTCATTTTTAGTTTTCCATAAAGTGCTTCTCTTGTTTTTCAACGTCTGTATTAAAAACTCTTGAAATGATATTGGGGCTTTAGTGATTTATAATTCTTTTATAAAAAATTGGGGTTGTTTGAGTGATTTGAATGCATCATATCGTTAGCACCTGAGTTTAATTCAGAGTTTTCTGTTGTGGCTCATATTTTGTAATGGGTTTGCATTACATTTGCTGTTACACCCCAAATCTGCATGGATGTAAATCTCAGAAGTACCTCAGTCAGTAATTCAAATATTCTAGCAGGTTATAACAGGTTGAAGGGTTGGGTATTCCTGCTTTATGACTGATATGATAGGTATCGTCATACAATGCCAGTAATGTGATATTCTGTGTTCAATATCGACTCAACACGCAAATCAAATGAACGGATGGTTGGAAGAAACCATAATCGTTTGCTCATACGTATGTTTCACTTCTTCACTGTGAGCAGACATGTTTACGTTGTTTTTTACAAGTCAAGTCTCAACTTTCTAATGACTGAAATATATATGTTTTCATTTGGTGCATCTCTGAACCCTTGCATCACTGTAGGTTATGATTTCAAATATGTAATGTTTGCCCTTAGGCTTAAACCACCACATGGACATAGTTATCTTTTAATTTTTACTTTTAGTTCATTCAATTTAACATCCAAAGACCTGCTGAAGGCTAACTTATATTATTTTGAAAATTGATCAATATTTAATTGATCCTAATATTTACCCACTACCAAAAATTATTTAAAAGTTATGGCCTAAGAAAAATAAAAAGAGATTTAAAGATGTTAATGTTGAACTTCTGAATGAATCAAAGTGCTTTTCTTTGCTTCTGTATTGACTCAGTTAACATCAGTTTATATCGATATCTTCAGATCACCCTCTCCTCTAAGTAGAGATTTTTCTTCTCCTCACTTTGTCCTTTCCCGCCAATCCGGGTGTCACGTGTTTCCACGGAAAAAAAAAGAGGCTCCACAGCGCCATCTGTGTTTCAACTCAGGCAATACAAAATAGCAGGGGGGGGGGGGGAGCGGTTTCTACGCAAATTGTGACGTCATCCGTGCACCAGTCAGCTGAACAAAGAAAC